AGAACCGCTGGTCTGCTCCACCTGTAGCTCTTCCTTGTGCCAGTGGTTCCTCAAGACTTCTCCTGAGGGCCTCGGATCCTGCCCCAGGCCCTGGAATGTCTTCCCTGGGCACCCATCCTGCCTAGCCCCATGCACCCCAAGCCTGTCCTCCCCAGGAAGCCACACTTCACTGCATTCTGTGCCCTGCTGGCTTCCCTCCTGGGTTCCTACCCCAAGCCGTCCACATCATCTCACCACAGCCTTGGCTCCACCCACTGTTCCAATTCTGAGCCCTTGAGTCTCCCTCCATATCTCCGTCCACACCCTCCGCCATCTCCCTCGTTCACAAGCAGTGACTCTGCCGGGCCCGATCCTGCAGTCCACGGCCTGGGAAGCACAGGTCAAAATCCCACTGCCTCTCATAGAGAAGCAACACAAGGAGTCAAACACGGAATGTGTCAGTGAACTGACCGGTGCAGGAAGGAAAGGAGGGGAGGAAACGGGAAGGGAGGGAGGAGGGAAGGAAGAAGGGATCTGCTGGAGCGGGAAAGGCTGCACTTCAAGCCAGACGGCCAGGTTAGTCTGCTAGCACAGAGCTGTTCCCACTCTTCGACCAGTGCCTCTGAGCTCAGTGCCTTCGTCTTGATCTTTCTCCAACTCGTCCTTCATAAAAACCCTAAGTTTACCACTGCCTTATTGAAAGTCCATCGTTGACTCCTGTTAGAGAGCTGTTTGAATTGCTTGAACTTATCATAAAAGACCTGTCTTGCTCTGGGCTCTGCCCATTGGACCACTCTCATTGCTGGCTGTGTATATAATTAAGCCCAGTTGCCGTGTTTTATTTGGCAATGGGTGGTGCTTGTCTCTGCATTTCCCACTTCTGTCTACCTCTGTGCTTAAGCCTGGAGACACCCTGAACACCGAGCTTCTTAAGTGTCAGCTCTGTCACTGCTGGGTCCATTCTGATCTTCGGAAAACAGATTTACCCAGTTCAGATGATACATAACCTGCTTCACACACTTGTTTAAAAATTTAAGGAGCAAAAGCACAAAAGTTACACAGAGCAGAAGCTGCAGCACCAGCCGCCTTCAGGACTCTGTCATGGTGGGTCCTGTTCCCCGGGCCAGAACTCCTCAACTCGACACCAGGGACATTTCAGCTGTGTGGCTCCACGCTGCGAGGCTTCTCTCTCCCACACCCTCAGGATGCTCAGCGACATCCATAGTCTCCCAGAACTGAAAATGTCTCCAAATACCACCACGTTCCCAAAGTGACAAAATCACACCACCTGAAAGTCCCTGCCATGTCCTTGACAGCCAGGGGTCAGTGCATCTCCAGGCATCTGGCCCGAAAGCCAGCACATAGAAGATATTCACTGAGCCACAGTCCTCTCTCCGAGTGCTACAGGTCAGCTTCACCTGCTTTGAAATTTCTGCCAGTGTATGTGCTGTTGTTATGGCTTCCTCCACTGGACACGATGTTGTCAGGCTAGCTGTGCTGTGCTTCCTTGCTCTCTGCTTCTGAGCTCTCTCTGGTAGGATGCTGATCTGCTTTGTGTCCCGTTAGACGGTGGCCTTTTCTAATCTGTATCTCTTGTGCACAGTGTTGTCAAGGTGACACCTCCTGCATGTGGGTCACAGCTCCGGCAGTGGCTGTGCTGACAGAAAAGGTGGGAGAGTGGGGGCTGTGACGGGGCAAGGCTCCTCTTCCATGGCCTCTGTGGTTCTATGTGTCACCTTGTGATCAATCCCTAAATTCCTCATCAGTAAACTGATATTACATCAAAGGTGTTTTAAGTGATTAATAATAAGAGTTTTTAAAGTAGAAAAGAGGAGAAGCCAGGCACTCTGCTAAGCATCCTACAATGCAAATGTTCAGAAATGAGTATTCAACTTCATTTATATCAGAGAAAAGCATATAAAAGCAACAAATGCATCTTCAGATTTCTGCACAGCTTCTGGGAAAACATGAGGGTGGGAGATGTGGACTAGACTTCCATTAAGACCTCCCAGAAGTCTTCAAAATGTATTTTATGGGGCCAGGGGTTTTGCTCAGTGGTGCCATTGCCTGCCTCACAAGCACCAGGACCAGACCCCTGGTATTCAAACAAAAGTGTTTTACGCTTATGAGGTCATCTTCCAAAAACAAATCAGACCAATCTGTAAAAACTGTATGTGCACAAAAAGGAGTAAGTATTTATATGTAAAGCTATCTCCCAAAGACCTGCTTATAGCTGCAGAAAGCTAAAAGCGAGTGTTCTACAGGTGACTGGGCAATGCATCACAGTCTTCCCTCTCAGGAGAACGCACACAGCTACAGCTAACAGCCTGAAAAAATGTCCATGAATCACTGAGTTAAAATGGGTGACAGAACATAGCAAATCTAAGAGAGGGAAAGATATGAAGGTCATAGAAACAAAATATCAGGGACAGAAGCCAACATGTTAGCTTTTGTTATTTTGGAGGTGTGTTTTCTTTTGGGGTTCGCATTTGTTTCTCATTAAAGTTTGCATACCTTCTAAGCTTTCTACTAGGAATGTGCATAACAATTTGAAAATGAACGCTCTTATGTAAATAAACTTCCCAATGAGTGAGAAACAGAAAGGCTGAGTGACGTCACCTAGTTTAGTGTGCACGCACGGCCCCTCCCAGGGACGCTCACCTTCCCCTTACCAGGCTGGTGCCTCTCAAGACTCACACCATGTCCCAAGACATGGACCTCGGCCAACAATCGTGCACAGGTGTTCTTGGAAAAAGATAACTGCTTTCCACATGGAGTCTTGCTACACTGATTAGGAAGCAGAAGAGTCAGTTTCATTTATAAGGTTTTCCAAACTAGTGTTGCTTAAAGTATAATCATCTTAACAAAAACTGGACATTGTTTTAGATTCTATGTCTGTGGCCACTTTTCTGATTTAAATCTTCCTCATTCTCTAAATGGGATGCAGATATCGGTGACTGCAACAAATCTATGAAAGGATCAAATACTTCAGCAGATCCAAGGCTGTCCAGAGTCATGGACCAGGAATTAACGATTCCTCACTGCCCTCTGCTTCACAGGAGTCTGGCTGAGAAGCGCTTCCCACCTATACAAGGTAAGAAACAGTTTCCTGCAGGTCAGCAACACCAGCAGGGACTGCACTCGCTCAGATCAGCACAGCCAAAGAGGTGGGAGAGGCCACGCCCACGCAGATCTCTTTCCAAGGCTGGGCCACAGCCTGGAAAGAGGTCACCTCCAGGGGCACATGGCTGTTGGTCCCTGAACTCTCCCCTGCCCTGGGAGAGGGCTGGAGGCCTCTATTCCCACCTGTAGGGACATCATGGCAGGGTGCAGGCTGCAAGCCTACGGGCGGCCCACAGCGCCCACCCTGCCACCCGGCTGCCTCCATCCACATCCACCCCAGTCATCTCCCAGGCACTGAGGGTCAAGACTGGACAGTGCACAGTGACCCACCAGGCAGCCTGAAGCACTGTGAACAGGAAACCGCTCAAGCTGGACCCCACCTCCTACTGCTGTGCTCAAACCAAGAGAAAAATTATCGGGAAGCCCAGGTCACACCTTATGAACAAAACACATCTTTGCAAACCACCTAATCCACTGACCCTCATCTGGAGTTGTGCCCCTCCAACAGTCCAAGCAACTCCCTGAAGTGAGTATAAATGAAACTTCCTCCTAGGCCTAAATCTTTCTGTCTCTGCTACTGGAAAAACCAACCACCTGTCAATTCAATTAGAAACTTAGGCTGAAATCCGATTCTCCCTCCTCCCACCATGCACTGGTTACCAGGACGCATGGATCCTGCTTCCACCAGACTGCAATGGTGCCAATGCCCCCCACTCTGCATCCAGCCCCTTCGCCCTCCTCACTGCCGCTCTCAGTCAGGCAATCCACCTCCTCACGCACGTCACAACAGGTGGCTGTCCTCCTTATTCCCTGGCAAGCTCCGTGTGTCCACGTGTCCAGCCCCTCTGCAGCCTGCGCCCCCCACCTCCACCTAGCCGCTCCTGCCCTGCCCACCGCCAGCCCAGTGTCCTCATCTGGACAGCATTGCTCTCCTATTCTGGGTGTCTGGAAATGTCTGAGGACATTTTGCTTGTCACCATGACTTGAGGGGACAAAAGACATTTAAAGGGCAGGGACCATGGACACTAAGTGGCTGTCAGTATGAGACAAGTCCTACAACACAGAAATGCCTTCCCAACATTCCCAGCAACAGGCCTGGCAAGACCTATTCATTCAAACACGTTGTCACTTCTACCTGAGTACAGCTCCTTCTTTCTAGACTCTACCTAACCACCCCTGCCAGTTCTGCCTCCTTCCGACACCATGCTGTCCTTGGCCAGTGCAATTTCAACCCCTCTCTTAACCGAGGCCATCTTGACTGAATACTCTGGGGAACACAGTGTGTTCACGGGAGATGCAAGAGAAGGATTTAAGACCATGGGCTCAGTAATGCTGATCTCCACTGTCTACTCAGGAAGTAAATCACTCTAGATGTTTGGATTACAAATGAACAGATGAATCTTCATTCCCATGCCTTAACATTGTTTATTGTTGTTAAACTTAGAACTCAGAACAGTTTGAAATAAACTATATTTTAGCAGCAATGGTGCTTTAAAGAAATCTAAAATGCATATATTTGGCTGCAGGTGAGACTGCAGCAGGTATTGCGAACTCAGTACAGGAGAAAGAGCCGAGATGCGGTGGAGCACAGTGCATGCTGCGTGCTGCATGGAAAGGCTCCAGACTCCCGTATGTGTGTGGCGTGGAGGGCTTCTGCATCTGTGAGTAATGACTAAGTGATGAGTGTGCCTGGGAGAGCCTCACGCTGAAATACTTGTTCTCCATGAGAAATAAAGCACGCGTGTACCCGTGAGACACACTTGCATGCAGAAGTAAAGCAGAAGTGAGCCAACTCCGCTCACTTCTGTGAGACGGTGCCCGTGGTCTCCAGCCCACTCCAGCCCACACCCAACCCCACCCGCCGCACACCCTGACCCCCCAAGGGAGACCATGCTCACGTGCACATCTGTTCATGTCAGGTGCGCGGTGCCCATAGTAGCCCGCCGGACAGGCGTGCAGACACTCCCCGTGCTGGCGCATGCCCTCGCGCCGCAGGAAGAAGAACAGCTTCTGCTGGCACCGGCTGCATCCGTTGTCCTTGGAGCAAGACAAGCAACCCTTGCAAATAGGGTTTGATGCGTAGCTGGCTGAAAGAAACCAAAGGTAAAAGGCACGTTCAGATGTGAATGTGATCAGGCTCTGGTCAATGTGCCCTGGGGAGAAGACAATGTCACTGTCTTGCCACTCTTCTCATCTAGAAAAATTAAACAAGTTACAGTGGACACCTGAATTACCAACTCAACTCATTCTCGAGGGCTGGCCGTAACTCAGTGCAGGCCCAGACTCTTCTGCACAGCCTTCAGTCTCTCTCCTGCACACAGGCAGATCTCAGGGTCCTTCGAGACACTGGCCCAGGATCTCTCGGTGACCCCCACACAGAAAAGGATGCCGTCATGTTCCTTCCAGAGCTCTGTAAGGGTGAAATCTGTATCTGAAACCATCTGGGAGATCATCTGGAAGCACAAGCCGCCAGCATTTGGGTAATAACTCAAGACTTTGGCTGTAAGTTAAAACTAAAATTCTGGTCCTAACCAGGTTGTTCATGTCAGGCTGCTTGTAACTTGACAGTCCATTATATTCTCCCACTGCAAAGTGGGGAGGAGGGGGAGAGAAGGAGAAAGAGAAAGAGAGAGGGGAAAGAGGGGAGGAGAAAGAAGGGGAAGAAGGGTGAGACAGGACAAAGGGCGAAGGGGGGGCAGGTGCCACTCACCCAGGAGCAGACTTAGAAACGGAGGAAACTCAGAGCCACAGCTGAGGCCGGAAGCTGGACCTGACGGGCTGCAGGGCCGCTACACCAGGCAGAGGTGGACCTTACAGCAGGATTCCGAGTGCGGCACAGGGAACATGCTTGTGAAGAGCTGACCTGGACCCATTTTGTGTGGACGGCAGTGGAGCCAGCTCTTTGTCCACGGCAAATATTATAACTTCATTATGGTTTAGGTCTAAAACGTCCCCAAAATATCCCAGCACTCAGCAGGAGGGCTTCTGGGAGCGACCCGATCATGGGGACCCCATACTCATTAGTGGATTAATCCCCTGAAGAACCCACAGCTAAATGTGTTGTTGGGAGGTCAGACCCAGTGGGGAGAGGTGGCCACTGGAATGTGACACGGACACGTAAATCTCCCTCCTCGGCCCTACCCTTCTCCCTCTGCTGCCTGACGGCCACGGTGTGAGCAGATCCTCCAGTGCCCCCACCACACCTTTCCTCCTTTGGGACAGCTGACTATCGACCAATCCTCCGAAAACCCTGAGCCGAGCTAACCCTAGAGTATTTTGTCCCAGGGATGAGAAAGTGGCTAAGACATCCCCCATCCCAACTGCCCAGAGAAAAATACTTCAACCCAGGGTTGATGGCACAGAGAGGATGAATCTAGGAGAGAGAAAGCCGTCTAAGAGACATAGCACCCAGCATGGCAGATGTCAGGGCATGAAATCCAAGCCCATGTTGTCATTACAGCATTCAGCCCCTCAGTCAAGAAGCCAACATAAATCTTGTTCAGACTCAGGAAAACCTACAAAGAAAATGTCACGCAATACTACCTGCTAGAAAGCGTCTGCAACCCTGACACCTGGGACTGTCAGGAAAAATTACATTGCCATCCCATGACAAGCAAACTTCCACAGGGGAACTCAACCTCAGGGAGAAAGGCAAAGAGCCATGGAAACACTGACAGCCCCTGTGATGACCATCCACAGAGCATGTGACAAGACAAAGGTAGGATGTAGACCTTTTGGAAAAAGCACTGTGTGCAAATTAGAGTGGAACACTCTACAACTGAAAAAATTTCTATGGGCAAATTCAATAGTGAAATAGGAGAAAGGGACACAACCAAAAATATATTTAAAGAGCCTTGGAAATAAAGCAAGACAAAAAGGAAGCAAGTGAGACAGAATGAAAGAGTGATAGTACAAAGTTAGAGAGTGCCTGAGAGTGAGCACACAGCACTCAGGGCAGAGCTGAGCCATTTTCAGAAGCAAAAACCACACAACCTTCAGAATTGATGGTTCCAGGCCAACCAAGCAAAAGGAAGTCTTTTTAGTCAGAACGCAGCACATTTATACTAAAAAGAGATCCAAAACAGGGAAGAATAGCAGATTACTCACAGAGGAATTCAGATTCGACTGAAAGATTTCTAATCAGAAAGTGTTAGAGGGATACTATATTCAAAATGAGAAGAGAAAATAATTATTAAATTACAATACTATGAGCATCTTAATTTTCAGTTTAAGAACGGGGACAAAATATTTTCAGTTAAAATAAAAACAAGGAATTTGTCCTGTCATACCCACCTCCCCCTCCACACACATCTACCAAAAGAACTACAAAATGGGATAAAATAAAATAGTGCCAGTAGGGAGGGATGCAGCAGCCACAGGGTCACAGCAGGGGATAATGCGCTGTTGTTAGAGTATAGATTTTTTAAGAATAATAATTAATTTTGAAAGTTTGAAAATAAATATTTAAATTCGACAACCATAACATGGAAAATGTAAGGACATACCAAAATGAAGGCATTCGGAGTTTCTGCCTTAATAAGGAAGGTCAGTAGAAATTGAATTTTTAAGTAAACGTATTCCCATAACTTATAATATAAAAGTATGTTCTATATCAGCGGTGACGAAACTATGCACACGTGCCACAGCAGGCTGTGTCAGTGAAAGCTTTAAAAGGTTTGCCATCACTGTCTTAATTTAATTTATATGAAGGCCAACGACAAGTAGAAATAGCCTATGGGAACAGAAATCAGACCACCACCACCTTTGGGGGCTGAGACTGACTGAAAGCACACAGAGAGTTTTGAGGGGCTCATGCTGGTTCTCATGTGCTACTGTAACGAATCACCACAGTTAATTGGCAGGTACCCACTCCCTGAACTCGGGGTGGGCAGCTGGACGAGGTGGTAGCGAGGCTGCTTCCTTGAAAGCCCAGAGGAGGCCCCGGCCTTGCTCTTCCAGATGGCATGGCCTTGGGCAGCTCCAGGGGAGGAGTATCACCACAGCCTCTGCCTCTGTCTTCTGATAATTTCTGCTTCTTTGAGGGTTAAGATGTGATTGCATGAGAAGAAGGTGAACTCTAGGTCTAACAAATAGCTTTCTGCATATTGCTTTACATCAACATACAGAGACAGCCGCCTGTCCTGTTCTTAAACGTGATGAGACTGACACAGGTAACTCGGGCACAGCACAGCTGACCGCAGGAGAAGGTGTGGCCTGTTAATTCCAGGACCCCAACACATGCACAGAGCAGTTCCCAAAGCCCTGCAAATGGACTTCTGAAAGAACTCACGCAGGTTTTCTACATATGGGCTAGGCCAGCGGCAGCCTGAGGCCTGGGAGCTCAGCGCTACCTCTCAGGACCTGGTATAGAAGCTCGCACAGGTGTCCTTGAGATTTGGGAGGGTGAAAGGACACAGACACCAAAAAGAGCTTCCTATCCTGGCTTTCCTCACAATAGCCAACCTTGCTTTCTCCAAGGTCTTCTTTTATCTTGCTTTTTCCTCTTTTATTGTGCCCAAGATCAATCTGCAGAGCTACTTTCTCTCTTTTCTCTTTTACTTTTTCAAACAAACTGCAATACTTTCTGCTTGTTGTGAGAAGAGAAGAACCTGGAATCCAACTCCAGAAGGAGAAGCAAGCAAACCAGAACCCAATAACACGCAACTGGCAAGCCTCCAGCAGAAGGAGCCACCCAGTAACAAGGCTGCACGTGGGGCCAGGGATTTAGTTCAGTGGCACAGCATCTGCCTCAAAAGTGCAAGTTTGATCCCTGGTACAAAAAAAAAAAGCCTGCACATGATGTGTGCGTAACCACTGCTCAACTCCAGTGTGCTGTGGTCTTTCCACAGCTACGACCCAGACCGATGCCACTGTCCTGTCTGCCAGGCCAGCTCCACTGCTTCCCTCCTCACCACCCTTTCCGTCGTCTCAAGATGACATCCAGAGACCCTCTTCTCTCCTCTGCGTTACTGTCACCTCCGGCAGACTTGGTTTCAGCCCTCCCGCTGTGAATCTCCTCAGAACGCAGGCCTCGGGTACTTCTCACAGGGATGGCTAGAAGCCAGCTCTCTGCTTCGCTCTATCACCTCCCTTGTTCCTCCTTGCAGCATCACCACAATTTCCGATTACACCATGATGACGTATAAAGCAGGGAAGCCACCCTGCCTACTGTTTACCCAGGGGCTTCTGGAAGGTTTCATTCTTGTCCGGCTCCTGGCGTCCTGAGTGGACTGAGAGGCTTCTAGAGACCTGTAGTACAGTCCGACCTCTCTGCAAGAAAAGGTGAGCGAGGGAGAGGGTGGACAGGGATAGAGAGCCGGGGAGAATGGGAACAGATGACCCGGAGGCTGCTGGGATGGACTAGCAGGCCGGCTGTGTGTTCGGGGCTGTCCAGGAGCACTCTCAGGCTGAGCCCCAGCTGCCCGGTGTTCAGAGAAGCAAGGTGTGGCTCTTGTGGAGAAGACATCCCTTACACACACCGTGGCTGGTGGGCTGCCTCAAAAGCTACCCAGAGACCCGGTGGCACCGCACATCCCAGGGCTCTGCTTTGCAGTTTAACTAGGAATCTGAAGAAGCTCCATTGGGGCTGTGCACAGCCCAAACCCTGCTTTGAAGTACAAAGGGAATTTGAAAGGTTTACAAACACAGCAGAACGCCTGTCCCTCATCCTCAAACTGAGGCTGAAGCTATACTTACTTTCAGTTCAAAGGTTAAACCGAGAGCTCTTTATCACCGTAAATCACACTCCATGGTCAGAAATCCAGAGGAGCAGAATTAGAGAACCAAGGGAATCCGTGCAAATTAAAGGCCTGTGCTGTGCTTTATGTACTGAAGCCAACTTTCATCTTGACCACAGGGATGCAATCAGTGTCCACAGAGAGTGCGCCACACTCACTTTCCAAAAGGTATCTTCAAAATCATAAAGGAATCTTTATTTACTTGAGCTTTGACAGATTTAAACAGTGAAAAGGAATTAGGGAATACTTTCACGTTCCTATCGTCTCACATATCTTTATAGTCCCACTCAGGAGGAATTATCTTAAAGCAAAAGTGAAGTGAGTCCCACCAACCCACAGCACAAAAGTGCTGTGCCCCCACCTCCCCGCCCCCCGCCTCTGGTCTTCTTCAGTTTAGTTCAGCGCAGGAGGAGAGAGGCATGAGCGGCTTTTGTGATTTGCAGCTCTTTGCCCAGCACCTGGAAAAAGTTTGGTTCAGCGCAGGAGGAGAGAGGCATGAGCGGCTTTTGTGATTTGCAGCTCT